TTTAGTGAAACAATGAAATGTGGAAAAAAAAAAAAAAGGCATGGAAAACAACTATACATACCAGAAACAGTGTGGGAGAAGAGGGGGAATTGGCAAAGGGTGAGAGAGAGGGAATCAAGGGGGGAAGCAAAATATATAAGAAACAAGAAATAGAAAATTATTTTTTGATGATAACACGTATGGTTATAACCTTGATTGAGTCAATACACAATGTATATTGGATGGAAAATCTCATTTTATATACTGTATTGATGTACAGTGAATGACTATAAATCAATTTTTTAAAAGAATCAAAAGCAGAGTCTTAAAGAGACAGTACATCTGTGTTCATAGCAGCCTTGTTCACTTTGGCTAAATTGGGGAAGCCACCTAGGTGTCCATTGGTGGATGGATAGATAAGCAAAGTGAGATGTACAAGGGAGTTTTACTCAGCCAACAAAATGAAGAAAAATGTGATGTATGCTACAACCAGGATGGACTGTAAGGGTGTTGTGTTAAATGAAATAAGCCAGCTGGAGAAAAAGAGAAACGCTGTATAGTTCCACCCATGAGGTACTTAGAATGATCAAAATCATGGAGATTGTGGAGTGGTAGTCCTTAGGGGCTGGGGGAACAGGAGAGTGAAAAGTTAGTTTACCAGGTATAGCTTCGGGTATATAAGATTAAGTGTATCCCGGAGATGAATGGTGGTTATTCGCCATTATGAAAATATTGAATATTACTGAAATGTGTACTTAAAAATGGTTAAGAGGGGGGCCAGCAGATGGCATAGTGGTTATGTTGCTAGACTTCCATATGACTGACTGTGGTTCATGTCCCATTTTTTTTTTTTTTTTTGACAGGTTTTTGCTATAGGGCCCGTGCGCTCACCAGGAAGACAGACAGAGACAGAGAGACAGAAGGTGAGAAATCACCCTCACACCACAATGTGGAATGGCCACACCACAATCCCTTCTCCATTTTCCTCTTGGGATCTTGGGCATGCATGCACACATGCCCAGTGTGAGTTTAAGCCAGCGGGTCCAGGACTCAAACCACAGTCAACTACATGGGAGTCCAGCGATATAGCCATTACGCCAACCGCTGGTCCCTCACTTATTTTTTTATTTTATTTTTTAACAGATGATAATCAGTTTATTGAAATAGTTGATTTAGGCGTCTGTAATGGTGACTTCAACCTCAACTCCTGGTTCGATACTGATGGAAGTAATCTATTTAACAATCTCAGGAGGACTGTGCAAATCTATGAGTCACTTGTGGATTCTCATCCCAAAACTATCCCAAGTCTTAGAACCTTCACCACAAGGTGTTTTTCTTATAGTGATTCTCAAAGTCTTGGTAGGCATCTGAACTGGTCCTTTCACCTTGAGATTCTTTTCCTTTGCACCTCTGATTGAGTCAGCACACACTTTCTCCAGGGACTTTACATTATGACTGGTTAAAGTAATTCTACTTCGGTGAATGGCCACCTCTGGCTCCACGGATGTTTTTCCAGTATCTTTAAAAGCCATGGCTGCGGTGTGGCTTCCTGACCCAGTTGTTCCTTGGTAAGAGCGAACAGCAGTGAGTCAGGAGCAGAGAGGGCTGCTGGAGCTCTGTGCCACCTGCGTCTGCTTCTTCCACAAAACCCCTCATTTATTTTTAATTTGACCAGAGAAAGAGATGGGGGTGGGGGACAGGTGAGAAAGCAAGCTACGAGGTCCAGGACTCGAACCATGATCAGCTATTGTGGGAGTGTCCAGCGCCTTAACCACCACGCCACCTGCTGGCCCCAGTCCTCAATTTTCATTGACTCAGCTGTGCAAAGGGAGAAAAACGATACTGTTTACAGACTGCAGGTCACCTCTCTCTGCATTCTTCTGATTGCTTAGATTTAACTCCAAAAAATGGGAAAAAATGAATGAGCCATCAGATGACCAGAAACCACCATAGAGGCATAAGAAATTTGAGAAACCAAGAAAATATTTCTCCTCTCATGGAAAAGAATAGCTCCTTTTCCTCCACAAAGAATATAAGGGAACTCATGGAAATGTCAGGTAAAGAATTTAAAATATTCATAGTGACAAAGCTAACAGAGATGCAAGAGAATAGAGATGATGAACTGCAGGAAATACAGGAGAAAAGAGACCCCAAGTTCCAGGAGGTGAGGGAGTCCTTGCACGGTCTGAAAGAGGAGATACACACCATAAAACAGAATCAAACAGAATTGTTAGTGATGAAGGCTGTAATACAGGAAGGAAATCAATACTTCTGTCGAAATATCAAAAGCAGACTAGATCATGCAGAAGATTGAATCTCAGATGTAGAAGATAGAACCTCTGACCTAGAAAAATTCACCAAAAAGACTGAGAAAATAACCCCAAAAATGAGAATAACATGCAAGTAATACTGTATACTATTAAACACCCAAACATTTGGATTATTGGTATTCCAGAAGGTGAATAAACTAAGGTCATTGATAATCTATTCCATGAAATCCTGGGAAAAAAATTCTTCAAACCTAGAGAGGCACTCAAATATCCAGACGTAAGAAATAGAAAGGACTCCACATAGCATCAACTGAAGATCTTCTCCAAGGCTCATCATAGCCAGATTGACCAAAACCACAGAGACAATATACTAAAATTGGCAAGAGAAGAATGTCAAATTACTTTCAAAGGATAATCCCATAAGACTAACATCAGACCTCTCATCAGAAATAATACAAGCAAGCTAAGAGTGGGAAAATATATTCAAAGTGTTAAGTGAAAAACAATTTCAACTGAGAGTACTGTACCCAGCAAGATTATCTTTCATATGGGAAAAAAAGACAAAAACATACTCAGATAAACAAAACCTGAAAGAATTTACCATTATCAGACCACCTCTCAAGAAGTGCTGAAGGGAGTGCTATACCAGGAAAACTAAAGTTGCACACACAGAAATAAGAGTACAAGAAACAACCAAAACAATGGCCAGCCTAATGGTAGGGACAAGCTCAGAGTTGAATGTTAACTTGCAGAGTTTAAATGGAAACATCAGACCACAGTAACACTGCAAGTTCAATAGAAGAGGGATTAATTATGTGAGTCTGAACTAGTGAAATATTTTTTTCCTTACTTTAGACTTCCATTTCCATATTTTGATTTCCATATTTAAGGATTTTTTGTCTTCTCTTGAACTGCTGATAGGTTCATTTACCTACTATTTGAGCTGAATCCTAACCTTTTTTCCTGGCTTTAAGTTTTAAGCAAATTTTTCTTTTGATTTTAATCTATTAAAACTAAAACTTTTTTTAAATTAAAAAATGCATTAAAATACCTATTAATACCTATTTAATGAGTGCAGTAAGCTATATAGCCTTAGCGAGGTGCTGCTTTATAGTATGTTCACTTTAGTCACTGAGATTTACTCCTAAAGTCAGACATGCATTCATAAATATGTATATATCAGCTGTGCTTGCTATTGAAAGTCTTTAAATTAATTAAGATTTTTAGTGAAACAATGAAATGTGGAAAAAAAAAAAAAAGGCATGGAAAACAACTATACATACCAGAAACAGTGTGGGAGAAGAGGGGGAATTGGCAAAGGGTGAGAGAGAGGGAATCAAGGGGGGAAGCAAAATATATAAGAAACAAGAAATAGAAAATTATTTTTTGATGATAACACGTATGGTTATAACCTTGATTGAGTCAATACACAATGTATATTGGATGGAAAATCTCATTTTATATACTGTATTGATGTACAGTGAATGACTATAAATCAATTTTTTAAAAGAATCAAAAGCAGAGTCTTAAAGAGACAGTACATCTGTGTTCATAGCAGCCTTGTTCACTTTGGCTAAATTGGGGAAGCCACCTAGGTGTCCATTGGTGGATGGATAGATAAGCAAAGTGAGATGTACAAGGGAGTTTTACTCAGCCAACAAAATGAAGAAAAATGTGATGTATGCTACAACCAGGATGGACTGTAAGGGTGTTGTGTTAAATGAAATAAGCCAGCTGGAGAAAAAGAGAAACGCTGTATAGTTCCACCCATGAGGTACTTAGAATGATCAAAATCATGGAGATTGTGGAGTGGTAGTCCTTAGGGGCTGGGGGAACAGGAGAGTGAAAAGTTAGTTTACCAGGTATAGCTTCGGGTATATAAGATTAAGTGTATCCCGGAGATGAATGGTGGTTATTCGCCATTATGAAAATATTGAATATTACTGAAATGTGTACTTAAAAATGGTTAAGAGGGGGGCCAGCAGATGGCATAGTGGTTATGTTGCTAGACTTCCATATGACTGACTGTGGTTCATGTCCCAGATCCAGTGGCTTGACACTCAACTGGGCACTTGTGCGAACATGCCCAAGATTCCAGGAAGAGAAGGGATTGCCATGTGGCCGTCTTCCCCACCAGGGTGATTTCTCACTTTCCTTCTCACTGTCTCTGTCTCTCTTTCTCTCCAGTGAGTATATGTGCCCTATGGCAAAAACCTCTTTTTTAAAAAAAAAAAAAAGTTTGGGACTAGCAGTTAGCGTAATGGCTATGTTGCTGAACTCCCATGTAGTCGACCGCAGTTCGAGTCCTGGTCCTGGTGGCTGAAACTCACGCCAGGTGCGTGTGTGTGTGTGTGTGTGTGTGTGTGTGTGTGCCCAAGATCCCGAGAGTAGAAAGGAGGAGAAGGGATCGTGGCGTGGCCCTCCCTCCGAGGGGTGATTTCTTACTTTCTGTCTTTCTGTCTGTCTCTGTCTGTCTGGCGAGCACACATGCCCTATAGCAAAAACCTCTCCAAAAAAAAAAAAAAACGTTAAGAGGAAAATTTTATGGAATATATATTTTAACATAATAGGAAAATGGGGGTAGAGAGAACCCTAGAAAAGCAAAGGAGGGTTTTTGTTTTGTTTTAACAAATGTAGTTATTAATTGGTCTTGTATACATTTCTAGTCAGGAATTCGTTGACAGTATCTTCATTGTCTGCGTTTGAAGTGGCTGTCTGGTTACACTCATTTGCTTGACTGTTTCCATCTAGGGGAAGATGGAGGCTATCACTGTGGTGAAGTTGCTGAGCTGTTTTGATGACCTCGTGGCAGCAGGCACAGCCTCTGGGAGGGTTGCAGTTTTTCAACTTGTGTCCTCATTGCCAGGGAGAAATAAACAGGTAAGTAGGCATCATTTTAGCATTTTTTAACTTTTTGACAAATTCCTCAAGGATTTTAAAATGAGAGATCTTCATCTGCCTAAAAAATGTCTGCTCAATAAAGCTTAACATGATGTTGTTTATAATCGGGTACCATTTTTGTTCCTAGTCGGCCCCTTGGCATAGAGCACATGTGGGTAATTTCATTTTGCTTGCCCTCCTCTGTAGAGTTTGTCCTCTGTGGGTTTGGAAGGACAGTAGACAGATGGAAGCCTGTGCATGGTTCTGCGTGGGAAGCGAGGCTGGGAAAGACGGCCCCTCCTTAAGTAGAAGCGATGGTGGATTACCTTGGCCCCGTAGCCCCAGCTCATGGTGCTCACCCTTTCCTTTTCCTTGTATGTATTTTTATCGTTTTCTCGTAGCTTCGGAGATTTGATGTCACTGGTATTCACAAAAATAGCATTACAGCTCTGGCTTGGAGCCCCAATGGAATGAAATTGTTCTCTGGAGATGACAAAGGGAAAATTGTCTATTCTTCTCTGGATCTAGACCAGGTAAAATTATTTTCAGACATGTTGTTGGCTCTTGCCTTCATGTATTTGAAAAAATTATTTTCATAGTTACATTTTTAGTTAATCAGCTTGTATTCTTTATCGTCACCCCTTTATCATCTCAGTGTTATTTGTAACATTTTCTTTCATGGACTTCTCTAATGTTTTATAAGCTCCCACTTCTGTGACTAAAGGCTGACCTACTAGAACATTCACCTTTTTCATCCTACTGTTGTGAGTTGCTGCTACTTAGGAGAGAAGCTTTTACCATTCCTAATTGTCCAGAAGGTTCATAGGAGACATGCCAGCATTTCCTAGCCTTTCCTGTGGGCAGAGGTCAGCCATATGGTCGACAGAGAACTCACACCAGCCAGACCTTGCTGTACGAGGTGACCTCACGGGAGAGGAAGTGCCGGGGGCAAGTTCGACAGCAGCCGGTGCTCAGCTCCCTCCTTGTGCTTGATATTTTATTTACTCCTCATCACAGTGCTTGGAGCCGTGTGTCATCATCCTAAAGCAAATGATGAAGGATGTGGCTCTGAGAGACTCAGAAGCTAGTCCAGGGACACAAGCTCGAACCCAGCAGGGCTCGTGTTCACGCTGAGGCTCTGCCCCAAAGCCTGCACCGTCTCTACTGCATGTGTGGCTGGTGTGGCCTGTGCTTTGCTCAGCTAGACTGCACTCCTGCGTGGCCCAGTCCTTCCTTTCGGTCCTTTGTAGCCTTCATTCTTAGTTGTCGTAGGAATTGAGCAGCTATCAGCTGAATGACTGAATCCTGTGATCCAAGACTGACTCGTCCATTACAAATATTCTCTAGCAATAGTTCTGAAACTTTTTGGTTTCAGGACCACATTACTTAGAAAAGGACCCCATACTGGTCACGGCGGTATACATCTATAATCCCAATAGCTTTGGAGGCTGAGACAGAGCAATCACAAGTTGGAGGCCAGCCTGACCTTGGTTCAGATCTAACCGTGGTGGCTTGGAAAACATGCTATGTGTGTGCTGTGCTTGTGCCTGCCCTTAATCCTGACAGGATGGAAACGTGGAGGAAAAGACTGCAGTGTAGACCATGCCTTGTCTGAAGGTGCTTCCTCTCTTTCTCTTTGGCAAGTGCACATGTCTCTGGCAATAAAAAAAAGGGTGAATTTTTGGGCCAGCAGGTGGCGTGGTAGTAAGGTAGTAACCTCCCACATGGCTGACTGTGGTTCGAGTCTCAGGCCTGGTAGCTTGCTTTCTCACTCCCTCTCGCTTTCTCTTTCTCTCTGGTAAGCACACGTGCCATATAGCAAATATAAATAATAATAATAAAATTAAATAATTTTTTTTAAGAAGGTGACTTTTGGGACTAGTAGGTGGCATGGTGGTTAAAGTGCTGAACTCTCACCTGTCCAACCATGGTTCAGTCTGGACTGGCAGCTTGCTTCCTCTCTCTCTCTCTCTGTTTCTCTCTAGTCAAATTGAATAATAATAAAAAAATTAAATAAATGTTTTTAAAAAGTGAATTTTATTACATATAAATTTTACCAATAAATCTGATTACTGAGCCCTCATTCCCCCATAAAAGGTCTATAATGTTGAAGTAATATCTTTTGGACAATGGATGAAACTGTTTCAGGAAGAGAATGACTTGTAGGCAGATTTTTTTTTTTTTTTTTTTTGAGAGGTTTTTGCTATAGGGCATGTGCACTCACCAGAAAGACAGAGACAGAGAGACAGAAAGCAAGAAATCACCCCCCCAGGGGGGATGGTCATGCCGCAATCCCTTCTCCTCCATTCTCCTCTCGGGATCTTGAGCACGCACGCACATGCACCCGATATGAGTTTAAGCCACCGGGTCCAGGACTCGAACCGCAGTCGACTACTTGGGAGTTCAGTGACATAGCCATTACGCTAACTGCTGGTCCCTAGACAGACTTTTTTTAAAAGTTTATTTATTTCTTCCAAAAGAGAGAGACAGACACTCCCAACAGGTTCTTTATGCCACATCTCACCCCAGTGAGCTGGGATCATGAGTGTGTGTGCATCCAGCGTGTACAGAGAGCTCTCAGGATGCCAACTGAGCCTCCCCACATGGTGTAGCATTGTGGAATGCTACATTGCTGCTGTGCCTCTACAACGAGTCTGTCTAGAAGCAGGGTTTTTTGTTTTTGTTTTTTTAATTACCAGAGGGTACATATCCTCATTGCAGAAAGAGAGGAGAGAGAAAAATCACCTCCCGGCTGGGTGTGGTCAGTTAAATCCCTCCCTTCCGTCTCTTCTTCCGACCAAGACTTTGGATGTGCTTGCACTCCCACCCAACATGTTATTAAGGCCACCAGGCCGGGACTTGAGCCACGGTCAGCCACGTTGAGATCTGGTTTCTAACACATAGAACTTAACCACTGTACTACAGGGCTGGCTCCTAGAAGCAGATTTTCAACATCATGAAATATAATTTGTGTTAGCAATAAAATGCCTTCTTCACGCCCTATTGCATAAACCTCTCCAAAAAATAAAATAAAATAAAAAATAAAATGCCTTCTAGAATTTTACTTCGTGTTTTGATAGAGAACATTTATATTTAATACTATTCATATTAATACCATCTTATACATTTAACATTGTTTTAATTTCTTTCTATCCTCTTATTTTTTATGACCTTTTCAGTTGGCAAGGATATAATGTCCTCAAAATTGCTTAGACATCTTTGTGGGAAGAAAGCGTAAACTTAAGAGAGCTGATTATTACCAGAATAATTTTATAGAAAGTTTCATGCCATCGTGTTCCATAATAGGATACATGTACATGCTATGACATATTTCAGTTTCTCTTTTTTTTTTTTAATTGTCAGATGACATGTGTACTTGTCAGAGACTAAGCACACCACAGTGGGTGTGGTCATGCCACCATCCTTTCTCCGTGTCTTCTCCTTAGGATTTGGGGTACGCATACACATAAACACACACACACAGCTGGTATGTTTTCAAGCTTCTAGGATTGGGATTTGAACAGCAGTCAAATGTGTGGGATCTGGCTTCCTTAACTACTAGGTTACAGGATCAGCTCTGCTCTGTTTAGCTCTTTGTTAGATATTCTTCTTTGAACTGAGAACTTTTTTTTTCTGTAAAAGTCTTTCTCTTAGGGCATGTGCACTCACTGGAGAGAGAGAGAGAGAGACAAGATGGTGAAAGGAAAAGTGAGAAATCACCCCCCCCAAGGGGGATGGCCATGCTGTAATCCCATCTCCTCCCAGGATCTTAGGCATGCACGCACATGCACCTGACATGAATTTCTTTTTTTTTTTTTTTTTAAAGAATTTCTTTAACTTTATTTATTATCATTGTTATTATATTTTCCAGTATGATCAGAGACAGACGGAGAGAGAGGGAAAGTAAAAAAGCAAGCCACCAGGTCCAAGACTTGAACTGTGGTCAGGCATGTGGGAGTCCAGCACCTTTAACCACCACACCACTTGCCGGTCCCCTGACATGAATTTCAAGCCACCGGGTCCAGGACTTGAACTGCAGTTGGCCATGTGGGAGTCTAGCAATGCAACCGCTATGCCATCTGCTGGCTCCTACTGATAACATTTTAAAAGAAATGACAAGGATTTTTAACATATTTTTTGTCTAGCTTTACATAATCCAAGCTAGATGTTAGCATCGTGCTCTCTCATTAGTAAGGGTTTTCACCAGTAACTTCTCTGTGGCAGATTGACACTGAGTCTGGGCAGAATTAAAGCATACATCGTAAGGGATAGAAGGACCTAGTAGAGCCAGCAGCAAGGCCGCTTGCCAGTCTTAGGGAGGTCCGGTTGCTTGAACTCAGCATTGATGCTCGGTTTATTTGCGGCTCTGTCAGGGTGTCTGTAACTCACACTTGGTGTTAGAAGAACCATCTTCCATTGTGCAGCTGGATTACAGCCAGAAAGTGCTGCTTGTCTCTACTTTGCAAAGAAGTCTGCTGTTTTACACTGAAGAGAAGTTCGTAAAGCAGATTGGAACACAACCAAGGAAAAGGTAAGCCTCACAGGTATTCCCATTTGGCTAATGTTGGGCCCTGTTCAAGGAGGTGCTTTCAGCTTTCCCAGATCACCACAGTGCTCCTGGGGGTCCCATGCCTGCACAGGGCTCTTCCTTTTAGTCAGACAGGGCGAGTGGGCTCCTCTTCTTGGGGAGCTGCAGGGACCTGCAAGCCACTGCCTTGCAGCGTGCCAGGATGGGGAAGCACCTCAGGGACCCACGACCACACCCTGTTCACTGCCTGCTGAATGCCTCTGCATACTGTGACATGCTCAAAGATGACCAGGAAATGAGGCAGATGTGAGCCTGCCTTCATGGAAACTGCAGTGTGGACAGATCATTTGTTAGCAGTCGTGTGAACTGCCATGGAGCAATAGTTGGGATCTGTGTGAGTCTACCAGCTTCTTACCAGCCTCGTGATCGAGGAAGACTCCTGAAGGCGTGGGGCCTACAGAGAAGTAGGATTGGCCAAGGAAAGGAGGGTTGCAGATTCAGAGTGACCCTCTCTGACCAGCTACCTGGAAGAAGGACTGCAAAGAGAGGGGCTAGGCTCAAATCTACTCATCATACCAGGTGTATGGAAAAGGCAGCTGCACCCATGGGTGACTTGCACATCCTAGTCCCCAGCTCAGACCAGAAAACAGACTTGTAGAACTCTGCAGCCAGTTTGCGTGGATGGGGAGAGAAGTGGGTGGGTAGAGTGCTCTACTGATGCTGCCTCACCCTGACAAAGAGGAGAACAAGGAGCAAGATGTGGGGATGGCCGAGGACGCATCACGGCAGGTTATAGCATGGCCGGTGGGAGTCGCAGGAGCTCCCATCCGAGTCTCCCAGATAAGGGGCGCTGCTGCCCTCAGAGGACAGGCGCAGGGTGGCAGGTGGGTCTAGGAGTGTGGAGAGGGTTGAGGTCGGCCCTGTGCAGAGTAGAGAACAGACTAACTTTGCAGCATGGTGACAGCTTGGCAGGCATTGCTGGGCCGCTGAAGCTGGCAGTGCCATCGGTGACAGGCATCGGGTTGGGTGAGGTCAGACTCACCATCTGTTATGCTGTGTCTAGGCGTTGCAGCAGCACAGTAGAAGAGTGCTCTGTTTCTATAAGGAAAGGCCGCCTTGTACCGCCCCTCCAGCTTCTATTTTTTATGCTGAATACCTTTTGAATTCCGCCAACAATCTGGTCTTCTTATAACAAAAATCTCCCCGTTGGTCCCTAGAAACTCATAGGAATGAGTAGCTTGGGCTTAGTGGTGCTGTGTAACTTGGTTCTGTCTTTCCCTCTGCCAGCATCCCACTCCTGCCTGGCCTTCTGTGCTGGTGCTCTGTCAGTGTCTTGCTGCTTTGTGTCTTTGGAAGGAAGATAGAGCTTAGTGCAAGATTTAAAAACTGATCGTCTCTCACATCGGTCGTACATCCAACAGACTCTTAAAACCTGGCTTTCTCACCACTTACGTGGAGACCTAAGCAATTTCTGTGACCCGCTTCCTGGTCTGTCTGTGTGGTCCAGTCTTTGTGCAACATTGATTTTCCTCAGTGCCTTGTGCCATTCCAGGATAAAGAAAACAAATTAAAAAATGGATCACCAACTAGAAATTGATTTGACAGGAAAGGCAGAAGGGAGAGGTTATGGGCTGCCTTGCTAGAATTCCTTTGGAAGTTCTATTTTAAGAACCTCTCCCGGGGACCGGCAGTTGGTGTAATGGCTAAGTCGCTGGGCTCCCATTAGTCAACTGCGGTTCGAGTTCTGGACCTGGTGGCTTAAACTCATGCTGGCTGGGTGCATGTGCGTGCGTGCCCAAGATCCGGAGAGGAGAATGGAGGAGAAGGGATTGTAGCTTTGGCCATCCCCCCGAGGGGTGATTTCTCGCTTTCTGTCTCTTTGTCTTTCTCTGACTTTCTGGCGACTGCACGTGACCTATAGCAAAAACCTCTCAAAAACAAAAACGAAAAAGAACCTCTCAAGAACAGTACTACCAAAGGCAGTGGTCAGACACGATGCCTATTATAGAGTTGTCCATGGAAGACAGAACATTCGGGGTTAGGATAACGATCTTTGTTTCAAAGCTGAAGTTAATATAACATTCTTGTTGGACTCTGTCCATGGGGATTTGGCTACTCAGGGACCAGGGGAACCTCCTGAGATACTAATGGGCAGAGACCCCCACGTAACCATCTGTGAGACTGCCTGGGATGGCCCCAAGGGCCGGCCTCTGGGATCGTGTGTGCTGCCCTATGCTGGCAGGAGAGGAGAGTGGAAACCAGCCTGGCACCCGAGATGAGCGGTCCTGGTGAAATGGGAGCAGCTCCCGCAGCAGCATTCCGGCAGGTAGCAGTTGAGGGACTTAGTGGCACAAGCCCTGCTCTTTGTGTTTTGCATAGACGACCTCATTCAGCCCTCACTTTAGCCTTATGCCTAGGTTACAGGTTAGGAAACTGAGGTCCCGGAAGGTTAGCAAATGCCCTCACTGCATGGCTACTAAGTGTCAGAGCTGGCATTGAGCCCGGGTCGTGCTCTAAAGCCACAACTCTTTCTGTTAGTCAGAATATGAGATATATTTGAAGAAAGAATCAGCAAGCCTTAGATTAACTGAAACTCTGAACTTGAACTCTAAGAGTGCGCGAGGTGTGAAACAGTGAGAACTTAGTTTGCTGGTGGGAAAGGAGGTGGATGGACTCACTTGGAAAAACGTCCCAAATCATCTAAACTTAAACATGCTCCTAACAACCCAGCAGTTACCAACAGCCCACATTCCCACTTCTGAAATAAGCTAGACAAACTCTTCACCTGCACGGAGCTGTGTACAAAACCACTCAGAGCAAGCCGGTTCAAAATAGGGAGGAAGTGGTCATTTAAATACCCGTCAACAAGGAGCAAATGAAGACATTGAGGAATACTGCGTAGTCGTGAAGATGAGTGAGCAATACAGTTTTGGTTTTGGGTGGGGTGGGGATGGGGGGTCATAGGGTGTGTGCACTAGCAGAGAGAGAGAGGGTGAAAACTCATCCCTGGGGGTCAACCTTGCCACAATCCATTCTCTTCTAGCGCCTCGGGATTTTGGGACATGCACCTGGCATGATTTTCAATGAGCAGCTGTGCCTGGGACTCACACCGAGTGGTTGGCCATGTGGGATCCAGTGCTTTAACCTCCACACCACCTGCTGGCCTGCTATAGTTTCCTTTTTTTTTTTTAATCAACATGGGTAGATTTATTTATTTATTTATTTCCTTTGCTGGAGGGTGTATGTACTCTCCAGAGAGAGAGAAGCACCCTCCAGTGGGGCATGATCACACCATAGTCCCTTCTCCATTTTTTCTGTCCCATCAGGATTTGGGACATGTATGCACCTGCACCCCATGTGTTTCTCAAGCTGCTGGATCCAAGATTTCAACCACAAGGTCAGCCATGTGGGAGCCATGTTCCTTAATCATTAGGCCTAAGAGGCAGCCCAATAAGAATAAAATGATTTTTTTAAAGAATTATTTAATTTGGGACCAGCAGTTGGTGTAATGGCTATGTCGCTGGACTCCCATGTAGTCAACCGCGGAGTCCTGGACCTAGTGGCTTAAACTCATGCCAGGCGTGTGTGCATGCATGCCCAAGATCCTGAGAGGAGAATGAGGAGAAGGGATTGTGGCATGGCCATCCCCCCTGGGGGATGATTTCTCTGTCTCTCTGCCTTTCTGGCGAGCACATGCACCCTATAGCCAAAACCGCTCAAAAAAAAAAAGAATTATTTAATTTTATTTATTATTATTATTATTTAATTTGCTATAGGGCACATACACTCACCCGAGAGAGGGAGGGAAAATTAGAAACCAAGCCACCAAGTCTAGGACTCAAACCACCGTTGGCCATGTAGGAGTCCAGCGCCTCAATCATCATGCCACCTGCTGGCCCCAAGAGTACATTATTGTTGTTGTTATTATTTGGAGAGATTTTTGCTATAGGGCACAAGTGCTCTCCAGAAAGACAGAAAGAGAGACAGACAGAGACCCCCGAGGGAGATGGCCATGCCACAGTCCCTTCTCCTCCATTCTCCTCTTTGGATCTTAGGCATACACACACACATGCGCCCGGTATGAGTTTAAGCCATGGGTCTGAGACTTGAACCATGGTCAACTACATGGTAGTCCAGCAACATAACCATTACACCAACTGCTGGTCCCCCAAGAGTAAATTTTAAAAACACAGTGTTAAGTGAAAAAATGCAAATTGCAAAAGTATACAAATAACATACTATTGTTTTATAATAAAGAAATACTAAATTGTGTAACATATAGGGCTATATAGATAGGCAATTAAATTTCATGAACAACTCTAGAACGCAAGGAAACAGACAGGAAACGCCTGGAGGCTGCATCCCCAAGGGGCAGGAGTGTTAAGACATCGGTAGTGTGGCTGATAGTCGAGCTCCTGAGTTGGGAGGTGGGTTCCTGGGTGAACATTCATCGTTAGTCTTTGTATGTCCTTTCGTTTGTGTCACATATTTAATAACTTAAAAAGGAAAACTGGAAGGGGGATGGGAAGGGAAGTTGGCACCTCTGATGGATTAGAGAAATTCTGGAAGAGCAGTATTCTAGAAGGGTCGCTGTAGCTCTGGACAGAAAACTCACTCATTTAGGATGTCGGAGCACGGCAGTCAGACACTAGAAGGAACAGAATTTCAGGGCAGGGAATTGATGTCCAGGCCTGATTTTGTCTCCTGCCTCAGTTTTCTCTTCTTTAAAATAGGAGTTGTCATATTCACCTTACGGGGTGGTCATGAGGCCTGCGTAGGACAGTGGAGATGAGTTGCCTGAGGCAGCTTGAGCACGGTGGGTACTTGGTGCATCAGTGACCCAGTGTGTGCCCGTGGGGCCTTCGTGGGATGACAGTACTCTACTTACCAGAACAGTAGTGGGGAGGGCCGGGAGTCGATTATTTAGGCTTAGCCAAAAAATGCTTGTAGATGGTGTCAGGAGTTGATAACTATCACTTTAAGTCACTGTACCTTGTTTTTTCTGTATTTTTTTCTTCTGATTTTAGTTCTGGGAAATTCGGTGCTTGTTTTGTACCAGGACTCTGTAAGCAAAGCGACCTAACCTTGTATGCATCACGGCCTGGGCTTCGGCTGTGGAAGGCTGATGCCCGTGGGACCGTCCAAGCCACATTCATCCTCAAAGACGTGTTTGCTGGGGGTGTTAAGCCCTTTGAACTGTACCCACGTGTGGAGCCCTCTAACAGCCAGAGTTGCAGCTTACCGGAGAAACACCTGGGGCTTGTCTCATGTTTCTTTCAAGAAGGCTGGGTGCTGAGTTGGAATGAATATAGTATCTACCTTCTGGACACCGTCAGTCAGGTAAGTGAGGGGACTGCACTTCAGACGTCTTTGGTATCTAAAGGCAAGGGAGTGTTTACAAGGATTCTTTTGCTTCAGGGCTCTCAGCACAGTAAAAGCGGTGTTGAGGGGCCAGCTGGTGGTGGGGTGGCTAAGGTGACTTCATCTCTCCTAGCTAAATACATAGTTTGACTCCCAGATCTGGAAGCCTGGAAAGCACTCAGGACACGTGTGCGTGCATGCCCAACATCCCGAGAGGATTTGAACTGTACCCACGTGTGGAGCCCTCTAACAGCCAGAGTTGCAGCTTACCGGAGAAACACCTGGGGCTTGTCTCATGTTTCTTTCAAGAAGGCTGGGTGCTGAGTTGGAATGAATATAGTATCTACCTTCTGGACACCGTCAGTCAGGTAAGTGAGGGGACTGCACTTCAGACGTCTTTGGTATCTAAAGGCAAGGGAGTGTTTACAAGGATTCTTTTGCTTCAGGGCTCTCAGCACAGTAAAAGCGGTGTTGAGGGGCCAGCTGGTGGTGGGGTGGCTAAGGTGACTTCATCTCTCCTAGCTAAATACATAGTTTGACTCCCAGATCTGGAAGCCTGGAAAGCACTCAGGACACGTGTGCGTGCATGCCCAACATCCCGAGAGGAGAGTGGAGGAGGAGGGATGGCAGCGTGGCCACCCCCAGGGGCACTTTCTCACTTACTCTCTGTCCATGCTCAGGCAAATGCCCTTTAGCAAAAAATAAAAATTAAGTAGTCTTGTTCTTGGTGCTTTTTTGTTGTTGTTCCCTTTGGGCCAGTCAAGGAAATGAAAACTTGGTAATTATTGACAAAATAATTTGGTTTTGACCTTCATAGTCCTGTCCTTTGCTAGAAATGGGTGTGTTTTTGTACTTAGGCATACAATTAAATTTGTTCTTTCTAATCTATTTGGGTAGTGGTTTTTTGGGAGGGTTTTTTGTTTGTTTGTTTGTTTGTTTTTCTCAACTATCAGATGGCTATGAGCACATTCAGAGAAAAACCACAGAAATGTTAACTCAGGGATTGACGGTCCAGAGGCCCTCAGGACAAGGCCATTCTGAGGGGGTCTCTCCCTCACCTTGCTTTCTAGGAGCCCTGTTTTTTCACCCTTGCTTTTTCTTTTTCTCTCTTTTTTGTAAAGAGATTTTTGCTATTGGGCGTGTACGCTCACCAGAGAGATAGAGAGAGACAGAAAGCTAGAAATCACCCCCCAGGGGGGATGGTCATGCCACAATCCCTTCTCCTCCATTCTCCTCTAGGGATTTTTGGCCAAGCACACACACGCGCCCAGCGTGAGTTTAAGCCACTGGGTCCAGAACTCAAACTGTAGTCAAGTATGTAGTAATCCAGAGATATAACCATTATGCCATTTGCTGGTCCCTAACACTTTTTTTTTTCCTACCCAAATAGACCTGTATTATTTCACCTTTTTTTTTTTTTTCGTTTTTCTATACTTAATGGCATATCATAGGCAATTGCCCAATATTGTTAAATCGAAATAATGTCTGCCTAAATCAGGGTGATAACTGGTTCCCTTAAAAGCAGAGTAGAAACTTTCAGAAAAGCTGTTTAGTTTCTATTTCTCCTTGTCTTAAGAAGGGGGGCCCAGCAGGTGGTGTGGTAGTTAAAGGTGCTGGATTTCCACATGGCCAACTGCAGTCCGAGTCCCAGACCTGGTGACTTGCTTTCTCACTTTCCCTTTCTCTCTCTGGTCAAATTAAATAATAATAATAATAGCAAATGGAATTAAATAAATAATTTTTTTTAAATAACCTCCCCCTTCCCACACCCACCTACCCACAGATAGGCCAGGCTCTACTCAGATCATGATCCTCTACCTTGAACCTAAGCAGATCCTTCATAGAAAGTGAAAGGTTTTGCATGTGATGTGTGTCACAGAAAATGTCGCTGCTCCATGTTGAAGTTTCCTTAATTATTACTAGCCATGCCTGTGAGTACTGACTTAGCAGGTGGAAAGCTGACTTGAGAAGAATGTTCTAACTCGGCTCTGCTTTTAACTAGAAGTCTCATCTGCCTGTGCTTTGTTTCTTTATCTGTAAAATGGGGTGGCGGGAAGGAGTATTGGATTAGGGATCACCAAGATGCCTTTTCTTTGGGAAAAAAAAAGATTATGGACCAGCAGTTAGCATAATGGCCATGTCGCTGGACTCCCATGTAGTTGATCACAGTTCGAGTCCCGGACCCGGTGGCTTAAACTCAACGCTGGGCGCGTGTGCACGCGTACGTGCCCAAGATCCCAAGAGAAGAATGGAAGAGAAGGGATTGCAGCATGGCCATCCTCTCCAGGGGGTGATTTCTCACCTTCTGTCTGTCTCTTTCTGGCGAGTGCATGCGCCCTATAGCAAAAACCTCTCCCCCAAAAAATTGCCAGAGTGTGTGTGTGCTTGCTAGGAAGAGGGAGACCTGCCCCACCCCACCCCACCCCACCCCCATGGGAGATGGCCACTCCACAATCCCTTGTCCTCTATTTCTCCTCCTTTCGGGATTTTGGGCATGCATGCACATGGTACCTGGCATGTTTTTCAAGCCATTGGGTTTGGAACTCAAACCGCACAGCCAACCATGTGAGAGATCTTGTTGCCTTTAAAAAAATTTTTTTTTGAAGAATCATTTTATTTAATATTTATTTTAATTTGACCAGAGAGGGACAGAATGAGAGAGAGAGAGAGAGGAAAGAAAGGAAGCTACCAGTTCCAGGAGTCTAACCGTAGGCAACCCTGTGGGAGTCCAGTGCCCTTAACCACCACGCCACCTGCTGGCCCTGTCTTGCTGCCTTAACCACCAGGCCATGGGCTGGCTCTATGCCTCTTCTTATATAAGAGATTTTTTGAAAGACATTTTTGTACTGTTTCTCTAGTAACCAAGAACTTAATGTTTCTTTTTTCCCAGGGCATCTTTTGAACTTGATGTGTGTGGTAATTATTGGCGTCAAGGTTCTTTGTGGTTGTAAGTTAGTTCTCCCCATCCAAGCACTTACTTAGTGTTTGACTCAATAGGTACAATTAAATGTGTTTTATAGCTACGAAGTGGAGGCAGGGATTGTCCAGGATCAGCCATCGTTGGCACCATCAGAGTCTGACAGCTTTGCGAGGCTCATGTCATATTTCTGGCTATTCACTGAGGCTGTTTATTTTACCTTTTCCCCTTCAATCATCATAGGGTGCGTGTGCTTACCAGAGAGAGAAAGCCCCCCAGAGGGGTGTTGTCATGCCACCATCCTTTTCCTCTTTCCCCGTCAGGTTGGAATTTGGGGTCTGCACGCATATGTACCCAGCATATGTTTTTCAAGCCAGCAGGACTAGGATTCAAATTACAGTCCATCGTGTGGGACCCTCCGACGTACTGCACTTAACTATTGGATTGTGGGGCCAGTTGGCAAAGGTGCCCAGCCTCTGCAACGGAGTTGGTAGCATGCCAGGCTGCAGAGTTGGGAATCACATGCCGCAGTTACAGTCCCAGCCTGTTTGGCCTGAAAAACATGCCAGGGGCGGGGGATACACACTATGTGCCCAGGATCCTGGCAGGCTGGAGGAAGGAGGAAGTATAGGGTGTGACCAAGCCCTGTGGAGGGTGCGTCTCTCATGCATGTAGTCTGTCGTGAATTTAAAAAAATTAAAAAGTTAGGAAAGAGCTTGGATTCTTTATTCCCTACAATGAACAAGTCTCTCGTTTGCACTCCTGACAGAAAAGCATTACATCAATGTGGGCTCAGAAGGTTCTATTTTGCTTTCAGCTGATGCTAGGGGACTCCTCCCTCCCTTCATTGATTTATCCCACAACCATGAGGTGCAGTGCACACTGCTTTTCCCGTGGGTGTAGTCAGCACTGACTCCCGCCGAGGTTCGTCACAAGTGCTGCGAGCAAACGGGGAGGCCTGGGCATTGCCTTGAGGGTGATGCCCTGCCAACTCCAGGAGGGGAGGCTGGAGGGAATTAGAAACTCCCCAGAGAACAGGGATCGGAAAGGAATCCCGGCAGTGACGTCTGAGCCACAGAGGAGGAGGGCTGGAGTTTGTCCCAGAAGCATGGACGAGGACAGGTGTGATGGGCAGGCCACAGAAGGCAAGACTCCTACCCTGTCAGGGGATGGGTTTCCTTTCCTAAGGAGTCGGGGGCGGGGGCAACCGGATCGGAGTGGCCGGAGTGCCCTTTCATCATATCCAGTTCTGCTAAGGTGCCCAGCTCCCAGCCACGGGTCTCAGCTATTCCCCTGCTTCAGATGGATACAGGAAGAGTTACAACTTGAAGTTGTAACAGAGCGCAGTAGCGTTGAACTCATTAGGATCTTTTTCATGATTTGAACTGTTATTGTTTCTGGTTTTATGTTTTTGTTTTGTTTTGTGGATAGGCCACAGTTGCCGGTTTGGAAGGATCAGGTGACATTGTGTCTGTTTCCTGCACAGAAAATGAAATATTCTTCTTAAAGGGAGATAGGAACATTATAAGGATCGCGAGCAGGCCTGAGGGCCTAGCATCAACAGGTTTGTATTTGTTACAAATATACCTTGCGTGTCATGAGGAGTACTGTGCTTGGTCGCGCGTCACTGCCGTTTATAATCACAGAGCTCACAGAACTACCATTATTTTTCTATTCAGAGTATTGCAGTTTTATTAAACAGTGACAGTGAAGGGTTTTCTGTGAGTCTTAAATAACCTTTATGCTACTTTTCTTGCAAGCTCCCCCCTTGAAGGAACTGCTTTCATGGGCACAGCAGGTGGGGAGGCGGGGAGTGGGAAGGGGAAGAAGCCATGTGGCTGATCCCGATGTTCTGTCTGAGACGCTCTGGGATAGATGGTGCAGAGACAAAGATTTGCAGACTTTGGAACGTTTAAGTCTGTCATCTGTGACATCTCTTACCCTTAACACAGTTCTTCCTTGTGGGATTGATTTTTCTCTGCACTTTGGACTTTTGTTGTAATTCATATAGTCCCCGGCTTTACTGGGTAAAGAATTTTTTAAGTCTATTTATTTCTTCCATGAGAGAGAAAGACAGAGATAAGTACCCCCAATAGAGTCCTCACAGTGCCATCCACCCTCACCTCAGCCAGGCCGGATCACAGGCACTTGCACACACACCCAGCATGTACACAGAGGTCCCAGGATGCGAACCCAGGGTCTGCCCATGTGGGTCCAGTTGCATCTCTGCTGCTCCATTGCCTGGCACCCGAGCAAAGACTCTGCACATGTCACAGTGCTTCACGTATTTGGGATTTGTCAGTGAATTTTTTTCCGATAGCAGCAGCAACCACCATGTGGGCCCCTCCTCCCCTCCTCACTGCCTCTGGCCTGTTAAGTCATAGAGGGCATGTTGCGATGTTCCAGAACGACAGTTTGTGTAAGAAATGCGTGTGCTCCCGAGTTGAGAGCCAGGGACCCTGAGCAGTGCTGTCAAGGGGCAGTGCAACTTGTGGAGAGGGCAGAGGCTTGGAGCCACGGACCAAGGCCTGACACTGCCATCGAGGAGCACTCAGTGTCTACGCTGGCTGGGAGCGGGTGGCCACTGTTCACAGGTAGGCTGTCTAGAGCAGCTGAGGAACTGAGTTTTGAATTTTGTTTCAGTGGGTTGTATTAGGTAGCACAGCTCCAGATAGATCCGCCTCAACATGTGTTAGCTCCAACCACTTGCTTCAGAGCAGAGTCCTGTCTCTGTCTCTGGTGTCCACTCCGTGGTTCAGATCCTGGCCCCAGTGGCCTGAAGACCACATAGGCATGTGTGTATGCACACTCAACATTCAAATAGTGTGGAGAAGTGGAAGGAAAGGACTGTGGCACGACCACACCCATCAGGGTACACTCGCTCGCTCTCTTGTGCACTCTCTCTCTCGTGCACTCTCTCTCATTCTCTCTCGCTCTCTCTCTTGTGCGTTCTCTCTCTTGTTCTCTCTCGCTCTCACACACTCTCTCTCTCTTGCTCTCTCGCTCTCTTCACTCCCTCTCTCTCGTTCTCTCTCACTCTTGCTCTCTCTCTCTTGCACGTGCTCTCTCGCACGCGCGCGCTCTCTCTCTCTTGCTCACTCTCTCTTTCTCTCTCTCTCTTCCTCTCTCTGGCAAGTCCACATGCCTTCTAGCAGCTTGTTTTGTTTTGTTTTAGAGAGAAATTTTTGCTGTAGGGTACATGTACTCCCTGGAGAGACAGAGACAGACACAAAGTGAGAAATCAACTCCAGGGAGGATGGCCATGCCATAATCTCTTCTCTTCCAGTCTCCTCTTGGATTTTGGACATGCACGCCCGGCGTGTTTTAAGCTGCCAGGTCTCGGACTTGAACCATCGTCAACTGTATAGGATTCCAGTGACTTAAGGATTATGCCATTTGCTGATTCTGCTAGCAATGTTTTTTTAACATGCCCTTTGAGTGGGACCAAAAATGGCATGGTGCTGGACCCTCACATAACTGACTGTGGTTCAAGTCCTAGACCCGGTGACTTGAAAATCACCCTAGGTATGTGTGTGTGCATACCCAAAATCCCATGAGGAGAATGGAGAAGGGATTGTAGCATGGCCATCCCCTCGGGGTGATTTCTCACTTTACTCTCAGTTTCTGCCTCTCTCCAGTGCGCACACACGCCTGACAGCAAAAATCTTTAAAAAAAAAAAAAAAAGAAAGAAAGAAAGAAAGAAATCCCTTTGAGTAACATTAAAGCATATTTAGGGCAGAGTCTTAAATAGGGAGTATAGCTAACCTTGCATGCAGCATCTCTGTCTAATGAAGACTGTGAGTGGGAGGGAGAGCTGTTGTACACTCATAGCAGTCCCTCCTTACTGAGTTACCAGAGGCAGTGATGGGAGGTAGTTTACTAATTTTGTCACATGAGCTTTCTGTAGAACAACTGTTTCTTGGAACCTTCTGTGTGATTCTTTGTTTTGCTGGTGTTTATGAACTTCAGAATTGTTGTAGCTGTTTTTGATTGCCAGAGGCATGCGTGGGGTAGGGGGGCATCTCCCAGTGAGGTGTGCTCACCACACAGCCCCTTCCACTTCTCCATCCTGTCAGGATTTTCCAAGCCCTCAGGGTGGGAGCCAAACCATGGCTGACCACGGGATCCAGCTCCCTTACCCGTTGGCCCCAAGGCCAGCCCCCACTGCTGTACAGTGCTTTATCCGGCTGGAGCCTGGGTTCTGGTACCCCAGCAAGTGCAGGCTGGCTTTCTCTTAGGTAACCAGGAGTAAATGCACACTCTTTTTTCTCAGTGAGAGACGGCCTAGAGGCGTCGGGATGTGCAGAGCAAGTCCATGTGCAGCGTGTGGAGACTCCACCGGGGGCCTCGGTTTCTGAGACGAGGCTCCGGGCCCACCCCCGGGGCGGGGGAGCCGAGGAGTCGGAGTAGTTCGCTCAACTCCACCGACAGTGGCTCCGGGCTCCTGCTGCTCGGGCTCCAGGCAGCCCCTGAGGTGGGCAAAGGCAGTCAGCCCTCTACGCAGAGATTCAGCACCATCAGCTCGGAAGACTTCGACCAGGAGCTCGTCGTGAAGCCTATCAAAGTGAAGAGGAGGAGGAGGAGGAGGAGGACAGGTACCGTCTGGGCAAAGCACGCACTGGTGTGGCTCACGGGGGCGTCTCGGCACCCTGGCTGCCGCTTCTCGCTGAACAAGTGCTTGCCCGTCCGTCAAGGAGCAGAGGAGGGCTTCAGAAAGTCAGTGCTTCCCTTCCCCAGGGCAGTATAATCTTCACACATTAACAAAGGATGCATCTGCACACACCTACAGGAAACTCCTTTGTAAGATTTGAAAGATAATATAATATATATGAATATATATATTTTTTTTTTGAGAGATTTTTGCTATAGGGCACGTGTGCTCTCCAGAAAGAAAGAAAGAGACAGAGAGACAGAAAGCGAGAAATCACCCCCCGGGGGGATGGCCATGTTGCAATCCCTTCTTCATTCTCCTCTCAGGATCTTGGGCACGCACGCACACGCACCCAGTGTGAGTTTAAGCCACCGGGTCCAGGACTCAAACCACAGTCGACTACGTGGGAGTCCAGCGACATAGCCATTATAGCAACTACTGGTCCCGAAAGATAATGTATTACTAATGCGTGTAATCACAGCTCCACTTAAAAAGTCTGGAACTTGTACTTTTCCAGATTTAAATAAGAAGGTTGGTTTATAGAAGTCTATCGTTTATACCAGAGTTTCTGTGATCCTGGGTGGAAAGTCCTGGAAAGAGGAGATCGGTTTATGCTGGTATATGGATGGGACATTTCCACGTAGTGTTGACTAGATTACCAAGTACAGGCTTTTAACTCTACTCTTTGGTGCCTATGAAGCCTCTTTATCTAAAGATGGCTACAGTATTGCAGTGAAATATTACCCAATTCCTGAGCATTATAAATAGCTTTAAAAAGTCGGTCTGAGGTCCAGCCGAACCTTCACTTTGCTTCCTGGTTCCTCTTGGTTAGCCTTTCTGAGCGAGGCCAGTGACGGACTCACACAAAACCTCTTTGCAGTAAGGTGATTTATACTTAGGCTTGTTCTTCACCAACTATATCAATACTCTCCGTTGAAAATACATTTTTCTTCATATGCCAAAGTTTCGTTTTTTAATAGTTTTTGCCTTAAGGTGTGTGTGGTCACCAGAGCGAGCAGGACGGATGGAGTTAGAGGAAAAGTGAGAAATCAGCCCGTAGGAGGGTGGCCATGCTGCAGTCCCTTGTCCTCTGTTCTCTTCCTGGGATCTTGAGCATGCACACACATGTGCCTGGCATGATTTTGAAGCTACTGGGTCTGGGACCCGAACCGTGGTTGGCCATGTGGGAGTCCAGCAATGCAACTGCTGTGCCATCTGCTGGTCCTGCCAAACTTTCATTTTTTAAAAAAAATTATTTATTTATTTATTAGTTATTATAATTTATTTTTTAATTTGACCAGAGAGAGAAAGGGAAAGTGAGAAAGCGAGTCACCAGATCTGGGACTTGAACCACAGTCAGCCACGTGGGAGTTCAGCACCTTAACTACCATGCCATCTGCTGGCCCTCAAAGTTTCATTTTTAAGTTAGTCTCTTACTATAATATTTATATAGTCATATCTTATTTTGAATGGTCTTATTTTAAATCAGAAGGCAGAAGCAGGAGTGCCTGTCCCAGTTCCCTGGAGTCAACACCCTGCTCTGAGTGTCCTGGTGGCAGCCCCCAGTCCTTGACCACAGACCTGCTATCCATGACCTCAAGTATCCTGGGCAGTAGTGTGGATCAGCTGAGCACAGAGTCTCCTGACCAGGAGAGCAACCTCAGTGGCGAGGTGAATGGCATCTCGCAGGAAAACGGCAATCCTGAGACATTTAGTGTCCTGGAGGAGTCTGAACCAGCCCCTGATGGACTGGACGAAGAAAACGGTAGTAGAACTGAAGTCCCCCAACATGAGCGTGCACGTGAGCTGGAGCCACCCCGCGAGCTGTCAGATGTCCCTTTGCCCCCCGAGGGAGCCGTGGAAGGTAGTGATGCCGCAGGACCTGCAGAGGAGCCTTGTCCTGTGGACGATAGGCCGAGTAGCAAACAGTTACCCTCCTGGGAGCAGGGCGGCTCTGTGGAGACACAGGAGGTGGAGGACACAGAGACTGGGGACCCCCAGAGCACGTTTTCCGAAGCCCCACTCCTGGAGACACTCCTGGTGCCTTGTGGTCTCAGCGGGGCCCTGCGTGCTGAACAGTGGCTG